GGTCTGTCCAGACCCTATATGCCTAATGTTGCGCTGCATTTTTAAAGTTTACTTAGCTTTTAATGAGGAGCAACTGGTCTATATCCGGTGCTTTTTAACAGACACGAGATACCAAGTGCCTTTGGCCCTATTCTTTGCTTATTTGAACGGTACTATAGTTCCTCCTTGGATCAACACCTAGAGCAGTGGTGACAAAATCTACGGCACAGGTACCCCAGCTGGCAGTTTATCTAGTTTTCTCCTTGGAAAAGATCTGGCATGGTTTGAACCACAAGGGAGATAGTACTGTGGACCCTTGACTGTGTTTGGTAGCCAGAGCTTTCAGATTTTTGTGAAAAGTCTTCTCAAAGTCTAATTTAATTACAAGGCAGTTTGAATCCACCTCACCACAAAAGTATCAGAAATAGAAGCCGAAGATCAGATGATTTTTTTAAATTATGCACGTGCTTTATTTCACATTACTAGTTACTGATTCAACCACTGCTGATATTGACGAAGTTTAAAAGGTTTTTTTCCTATGTCTTCCCCATTGTCTTAACAGCTTTATCTCCATGTCAGAGCACAGCACCTCTGCTCCTCTCCTTTAACCCTCCTTTGGCCTTAGCTCTACACTGTAGAACTTAGTTCTTAATGCTCCCCGACACTCCTCTCACTCCTCTTATCAACGTCTCTCTAGTCCCCTGGTCGTCTGATCTTCTTTTGCAGATTCCTTAGGAAAAAGGCTTTTGAAGAGAGTGCTTCTTCAGTTTCTGCATTCAGGAATAGTTTATGGCTTTAATATTAAAAACAAACTTTTTGTTGATCATAAAACATCCTTGGCTCACATTTCTTCCCCCTGGGGTATTTAAAATATACTATAATACTTTCTCACGGGGTAAAGTAATGCTGTGGAAACGACTGATCTGATTGTCTTTGCCTTTTCAGTCATGAGTTAGTTCCTTTGATTTGTTTTTGTCTAGACAACTTAAGATTTCTGCTTTTTGTTTGAATTTCAGCCCTTTTAGTGAAATTTATCTTGGCATTGTTTTTTGTTTTTTGTTTTTTTTTTTTTGAGTGACTACTCACCAGTGTGGTTTTTCAGTGTTCATTTCAGGTTTGTTGTTTTTTTGTTTGTTTTTAGAGATAGGGTCTCTATGTAGTTCAGGGAGGCCTTGAACTTACTATGTAGCCTAGGCTGGCCTCAAACTTGCAGTGTTCCTCCTGCCTCAGCGTCCTGAATGTCTGTGATTATAGGCATGGACTAACACGCCTGGCCTCATGTCAGTTTTCTGGTTGCTAACTGCAAGAAGTTTACTTTCTAAGCACATGTTTTTAGTACTTGTTACTTTCCCTTTCAAGGACTAGTATTATTTATATATGGAACATTCTTTGCCTACCTTCAATATTCACCACTCCTTTTGAATCTTTTTAAATTTTTAAACATTTATATTTTTTATTCTTTTAATGAAAATGTATACATTCATTCTTGCATTCTTTTTAGTCTTAATGTCGAAAACATCCTTTTATATTCTTATTAAGCTTTAGTTAACATACCACATAATTCACTGAAGCGTAAACTCAGTGGTTTTTAGTATATTCAGAAGTATGCAAGGATAAACACCATCAACTTTGGAACATTTTCATCAAAAGGGAAAAATAACCATACTACTCCATATCGTTCCCTACTTCCGTGCCCCATTAGCTACCATTACTTTCTCTACCTACAGATCTCCCTTTCTAGACATCTAATATAAATCATATGTGTGATATTTTATAACTAGCTTCTTTCCCTTCATCTGCCTTGTAGCATGTATCAGTACTTTACTTCCTTTTATGGCCAGATATCCCATTATATGGATATATCACACTCTGTCTAGTGAAGGATGCATATTTGGGATGTTTCTCTGTTAGCCTTATGAATAATACTGTGCCTCAGACAGAGCCTCTGTTCCATGAGTGAGGGATGGACGTTAGAGGGAATTTTAACTAAGAAAGGAAATACAGTTTTAAATTTTATGTAATCACTCTGGCACTGTTTCGAGGTCTGTCAAACTAGCAAATCTAGGAGAAGAGGACTTCACTATAAAACCCAAGCTGAAAGATTATGAGGCTGAGGCTGGTTTTCAACCTATTAGCGATAATTCAGAATAGTATAGTAAACCATATGGAGTCTGGCTCATCTGTACAGAGGTGCTCTGTGACTACCAACGAATTCTGCCCCAAGCTGATTCAGGACCACTTCTGGGGCTGAGATGGTAGACCACAGAAGTCCGAAGCCAAGCTTTTGCCACATAAAGAACTTGAGTATGCTAGAGTGTCGTAGTTCTTCTCATGCTCTATTTATTAAGGTAAAAACTGAAGGCCTATAGTGAGATCTAAACAAAACTGAATCATTTTACTTCAGAGTCTAAAAGTTTGTGTTTTTTTTAAGACTGTGATAAGACAAAATGGCTCAGCAAATATTTCAACACCATAATGCACTCAAACTTTTAATGTTAGGTGGCAAAAAGGACTTTGAAACCATAACTAAGATAACATATCTGAAAATAGAGGTTACCTTGTATATGTGCAAGAGTCCAATCTAACCACATGACTCTTAAAAGCATTGCCAGTGCAGCAGGAGTCTGGCCTTGGTGCTCCTCCCCGTTAACTACAGCACAGAGAGCCCTGAGAATGTTTTGCTCGTTAGGGTTCTCAGCAAAACACTGAGACTGTCCACTTCTGACCCTACTGAGCACTTCCCCCGCTTTTTACAGTGTATAAATGAAGAGGCAGACCGTGCCGGGTTGTCACTGCTTCTCCGTCAGAGAGGTCAGGTCCCACTTGGTCCCAGCTTTCCTTTTAGTATATCTATAGATTTTTATCTCCTGCTGCCCCTCTCGGGATTCCACTCACCGCACAGGTCATGGCAATCCCCAGCCTTTTAAATTTTGAAACAGGGTCCTGCTATGTTGCCTTGGCATGATTCAAATATGCGATCCCTCTAAGTGCTGGGATGATAGGTACGCACTGCCACTCCCAGATTAACAGGTTTTAAGCCACTCAGTTTGCGGTAAATTGTTCTGGCAGCAATAGGAATTTAACAGGCATTTATAAAGGAGGCAAGCAGACTTCTGAAGCCATGGGACTTTGAACATAAATCTCTTCCCTAATTGCAAATCTTTGCTGATGAGTTTTAAGAATTTTTCATTCAAGAATAATAGTTAACATCTATATTGCCTTTACAACCCACAGTATATGGCTATATTCAAAGGAAGACTACAGTCTTTTTTCTAAGTCCTTCTAGAACACACTGGAATGGAGACTAGATTTCAGTGAGCTCAAGACTGGGAGAGGACGAGTTCACCATAAAACCCAAGCTAAAAGATACCAAGAGACTTGGATTGATTGAGATTTCACTTTTCTAATCTATTAGCAACAAATCCAAATAGTGTAAACTACACAACAGGAAGACCAATTATCAGGGCACTATATTAATCAAGTTGACAAGTGATGGGGCAGGGTCAGCTGGTGTGGAACGGCATCAGACTGGACAGCAAGAAACACTAATGTTGATTCTTAACAGTTCTAGAAGAGCTGAATAGGAAGAATACAGAATTCAAGAGGAAGTACAGACTTGGGAAGAGACGATTACAGAGAAAATTTAGTTTGGGACATGTTGAGATTGACGAGCTTACAGAAAATCCAGCGGTTTGTAGGAGGCATTGGATATGAAAAACTGAATCAAGAACCTGAGTGGATTCTCAAATTAGAGACCACATCTTGGGAATTATGAACATGTAACTGATAACTGACAATCTCATGTGAGCAAAGATTACCCAAAAGACGCTTATGGGCTTTGAGTTTTGCTTTAAGCTACAATGGAAGGGGCTAGATGGCTTAGTGGTAGAGTGGGTGCCTAGCATACACAAAATTCTGGGTTTAATCTCCAGTGCTGCAAAAAATAAATAAGCAAAACACTAAACTAAATGTAGAAAGATATGTTCTTTTTTTGCGGCGGGGCACTGGGAATTGAACTGAGGACCCTGCGCGTGCCAGGCAGACGCTGTGCCGCTGAGCTACATCCCCAGCCCGAGAAAGTAACAGGAAACTGTTTGAAGTAACTAGAAAAGGACTGCAGAAAAGAGGAAAAAGAAAGGTTGGGAAAGAAAGATGCTGGCTAAGGTAGAGCTAACCGATCTACTACTAATAATTACAAAAAGTTATCTTGGCATGTGATGTCTTTTAGGGGGAAGAAGAGGGTAGAGGGGCACGAAGCTGGAAATGCTCCTGTTAGCCACCAGCATGTGCTGCCAGCCTGGACAGCTGGGTCACTGCTGGGCAAATGACATTCCGGGAGGAAGCGGCCACAGACGTGGGAAGCACAGGGGAAAGCGGCCGTCCTCATCCCGCCATTGGCACGCGGGGCACTTCACAAGATGGGTGTTCGTCATTTGGGGAACGTTAACACTGTGATCCTCTTGAGTGCGCATCCCCACTCAGCGAAGCTCTAGTACTTTACAAACTCAGTTACAGGGAAACTGGAGATTCCTCCCACCCTCTACTTCTTGCAAACATTGCTGCTGCATTAAAATGAAAAATCGACCTTAGCTGAAGGAGTAGCCACCTGTGTATTCAGCAGTTCCTTCGCGGCACGCTCCCAGTGGCTCTGCTTACAGCTCTTGCTGAATCCCAGCCAGTGGAAGGATCTGAAGATTTGCAAAGCAGCAAGGGGCGTAAGCTGCCCGGCACACCAGAGCCTAGGCGGGCTTCCTGCTGGACTGCCAGCTGCGGCAAGAGCAGCCGGCTGGGGAAAGAACCTAAATCTAGGACCGACTATTTCTCCTCTCCTAGGTGTTTTGGATGGGCTCAAAAAGGATTAAAATTTGACTCATTCCAAAGCACCCAGTGATTATTCCAGGCCATGGACTAAATGGTACACTTTCATTCTCTTTCTGATGCCTTTGGTTTTGACTAAGAATCAAAATAGCTGTTAAATTCCTTTTCAACTCTCAAACAGATCTAGTCCAAAACAGCACGTATGAAATGTCGCCGATATCTTTTATTGGTGTCTTTTAAAAATTCTCTTTTTAAGACACCAGCCCAATTTTGTTGCATTCAACATATTTTTACCACAAGGGTTAAAAAGTATTTAAGTATAATTTTATTCTACTGATTCAATGGCAAATATATACATAAAATTATTTGGATCATTCAAGAAGTTACAGAATTCCATGTTTTCCTATTAATAACAAGGACATAAATGATCATTTCCTGAGTTAAAAGTGCAATGTAAAATTTAATCTGTATTGCTAACAATTTATAGCATAGAAATGTGATCAAAGTGATCATTTACTTTATCATGTCGTAAAACATAGCTGCTTATTTTAAAACAGTGATACATTTTCAATAATAAGGAAATTTGTAATTCATAACAAAGACTCTTGTGTGTATCTGTTACTATGACTGCCCTTCCAGGTCAAATATTAATAGTAAAATAAGTTATGGTACAAAATAAAGCCAACAAGTTCATCTGTACCCAAGGAATATTTGACTTCATTTAAGAAGCTGAAGACCAGATTCTAGTTAACCTTGTAATACATACAAAAATGTTCTCTTAAAAATTTCTAAGCAATCACAAATTTAGATAAACTAGCTGAAAAAAAGGAAAATGACAGTTCTTCGTTATGCTGTAAAACTGTAGATCTCCTCTTTGGAAAAGCAAAGGTCATGCAGCAACCTGAAAAACAAGAGAACACACGTTTTGTAGGGGACATGTTTGAAAGTAAGAGCAAGATTTACCATCATACTATTGATGGTAAACAGTTTCTCTATTTCATATTTATTTTATATTATTTTATTATTTTGTCTTTTTGAGACAGGGTCTCACTATGCAGTTCAGGCTGGTCTTGAGCTCACTTTGTAGCCCAGGCTGGTCTCGAATTTACAACGATCCTCCTGCCTCAGCCTCCCGAGTGCTGGGATTACAGGCGTGTGCCTGGCTCATATATATTTTAAAAACCCACATTGATCACTTCTTAAAAACCTGACAATAATTCCTAAAGTCATTAAATATCTTATCAGTGTTCAAATGTACACAGTTTACTTACTGTAACAGGCTGACAGTCTTAAGTATATTTCAATCTATAAGATATTTCTCATTCCCAACCATTTCTGTATTCTGTAATTTATACATCCGGAAAAAGATGAGATGTTTATCTGCCGAGTCTTCCACAGTCTTCACTTTGCAGCACCCCTGCGGGATGCCTTAATAACATGCTCCTATGTCCTCTCATTTCCAAAATTTAGTAACTAAATCTAGAAGCTTGATCAGATCCAGATTAATTCTTTTTGACAGGACCATTTCATGGGTTCTGTTCTAGCCAGTGGCACATAATATATGATTATCCTTTTGTTGGATGCTACAACCACTGGTGATGTAAGTGTAGGCCCATTAGTTCATTAGGGACTAAACTTGGTGACACTCTTTAATCAGCTAGGGAACTCTATGAAGACAAACGTACACTCATTTATTATGTGGTTATCTACCGGTATGTCTCATATAGAAAAGACAGAATAAATGCTTTACTGTATTTTCCTCCTTTATTCATCAGTTTCAAATTAAGGAATTAATTTCCCTACCATTCTATCTTCATTTTCTCACTGAACAGGAAAAAGCAGACAGATAGTATAGTTGCAATAGAATTCAAGATTGGAAATGGAATAACGTGAGACTGAAACCTTAGAAGTGGCTCTGTTTAAAATGCTGCTGAAATAATAACCATTTACTTAGTACTTACGTGCTAATCACTTAGTCACTGTGCTAAGCATTTCATATGCTTAAGTATTGTTACTTATTCCTGTTTACAGGGAAGTTAGAAAGTAGCTGGCCCTGGGACACCCAGGAAATGGTAAGATGATTATTTGTAGTACGGCTGGGATGAAAAGCCTAATGGACAGCTTTTAGAGCACATACATACTCACTCAAAGGGCCGGTAGGGTACAGGAGCTCTAATGTAACTGGCAAGTCTCTATCTGAGCCCATCTCATCTTTCCAGCTACGCACTGTCTCCACAGGAAAAGGACTGCGTTCCAGCCATACATGTACTCTTAATGCATTTGTTCCTTCTTTCTCTCTGCCTGTACTACCCCTCCCTATCTCTTCTAACTGGGAATGTTTTAGTCATCATTCAGTAGGTCTTTTCTGACCCTCCTGCCATCTTTCCAATGTTACACATGGCTGGGTAAAAGTAATTTGTCTCTTTCTCAATTTCCATAACATCTTGATTTTATCCTAGTAGGAATACTTATGAATGGAGTCATATTTTGGTTACCTTTATGTGTATCTGTTTTCACCACTAGACTGTTGTAAACTTCCAAAGCTCAATGTCTACTTGGCCAGAAGATCAAAGGATCATTACTGTGTTTTTTTTTAAAAATAAGCTTCTGAATCTTGTCTACACTTTTTTTTAAAAAATAGGCTTCTGAGTTTTCCTGTTACTATATCATACAAATTGACAGATGTTCACCAAACATGGAAAACATTTTGGAGTGATTATACATTTGTTTCTCAGTACTAGGACTGGATCCAGGCCTATCCATAATCAAGTTCCTTATACGAAATGGCAGAATATTTGCAACCTGTATATGCACATCCTTCCATATACTTTACATCATTTCTAGATTACTTAAAATATCCAATACAATGTAAACACTGTATAAATAGCTGTTATACTACATTGTTTAGTGACTGATGGCCCCCAAAAGTTATACGTGTTCAGTATAGATGAAATTAAAAGAAAATTTTACCTGCCAGTTGTTTGAATCCATTGATATAGAATTTGTGGATAGGGATACTTAGAATATAACCCATTTGGCAGACATGATATTAATTTTAAAAGACTGTAGGAACAAGTGCATCAGAACAAGTCTTTTTAAAGGAAGTCAATAAAATGATACCATAAGAAATTCATGTAATTTTCAACTCAAGAAAGATATACGACATCCATCAAGATTGTAAGACCAGGAAGTCAAAGATAGGAGCTCCAAACTGAAATCACAAGGTGGACACTATGGCAACTCCGCGCAGCGTGTTCAGGGGTCAGTAATACTACGAATCCCTACAGTGATTACTGAATTCCGGGGTAAGTCAGCTAGGACAGCATTAAAACACTAGCTCACAGGAGAAACTGAGCAAAGAGTTATACAGATTAGAGTTGATTTTAAAGAATACAAAAATAATAGATTATGACTACCTTTTTTTAGGTACAAAGTGTAGCGTGACGTGAAACCAACTTAGCTTTTGCACGTATGCACCGCACTTCCGGCTGGTAATGGAGGAAAACTTGCATCACACTCCTAACCTACGGAGGGTGCATCCAGCCTTTTAAATGGCATCAACATCAACGTCATCGCCCTTACTGTCAAGCTCCGTTCAGCTTTCGGCAGTCTTCTAATCCCTCAGTGCTCTCATCCTCATCTTCTTCACCGCCACCAGAAGATTCTTCCTCTGCTTCCTTCAACCATCCTATAAATGGCTCTGCTGTAATGAGAGCCTCTCCAGCAAGTTCTTTGGAAACATACTTCTTCGATGCCTCTTCTGACCAGCTCACGATGACCTCCTCTTCTAACTGGCCTGTATCATGCTTCTCCTTCAAGACACATGGGATCTCAGAGAACAGCTGCACTTGATGCTTTGCTCCTACACACGCCACACCATGAAGAAGGTACCACTGAGCTTTGTTGCTGTGATAGAATCTTAGGAAACGGCACTTGTATTTCTTTTGTTCGCTAATCTTCTCATTAAAAAGAACGTCAGTCAAAACAGGGAGGTGCATGGCTTTTACATCTAGTCTTTCTGCTTCTGCAATGATTTGTCAAATGACTCAATACTGTCCTCTTGTTTCTTTTTTGGTTTTTTGGGGGAGGGTACTGGGAATCGACCTCAGGACCTTGAGCTTGCTAGGAAGGCACCTGTGCCGCTGAGCTATATCCCCAGCCCTCTTCTTTCTTTTTCTGAACAAAATCCAATGGGATATTCACACACTCTTCCACAGTTCTTCCTAATCATCTGCACGGTCACTAACTCACCTCATCCATTCTGTGCCGCTGAGCTTCCTCAGCTGCACCCTCCCTCCAGCCATCCTCTTCCTCTGCTTCTACAGCACACGGGCGAGGCCTCCTTTCATTTGGTAGTGATGGTGGTGATGGTGGTGGTGGTGTCTCTCTGCTGGACACAGAGCCATTTTCCTTGTCTTTGCCCTATTTTTCTTTTTTCCCTGTACCACCGAAGCTATTCTCAGAGAGGTTTTTGAGAATGAATGTGCAGAGTTTATGTGCATCAAGCAGGCCAGGATAGCCACAGGCTTTTCAAGGATCACCGACTGCTGCTTCAGATTCACACGCAGATCTGTTTTAGGGTTTTCACATTCAGAACAGAGAATAACTTTGTAAATGAATTTATCCAACATGTCTTCCAGCTGATTCGTCTCCTAAGATCCCCCGGCAATGTACTGGTCGGTCATCCTTTACCTCAAAGTGCGTCTGTGCTCCCAGATCACAACCAAAGTACTGTGTACGGTGGGACACACTGGACGCTGATTAAGCGCCTTTGCAAGTCAACCGTGTTGACTATAACTGTCTTGATTCCCTTTCTCTCCCCTCAACCTTGGCAAACACATGGGGCAGCTTCTAGTGCTAGATCTGGTCAGAAACACTGCAGTTGACATTGGCAGACATTCTGGCTTACTAGTGGCTTATCAAGATAAATAGATCCTTGATGGTAACTTTTTTGTCTGGAGAAGGGATGACATAAATGACTCCCAAGAGTTCTTGGTCTCTGACATAAGGAATTTTTTGACCCTGAGGCTGTAACCTTCTTGCTTATATGCTATGTTTCCCCAAAACAGGTACCAGTGGCTGCAAAACAGCTCATTTTCATCAAATAAAGAAACAAAGCCAATTGGCTTGCCTGGGCCTGGGAGGATGGGGCAATGGAAACTGGTCCAGAGCGGAGGGGTAGGCGGCAAGCTGAGAGGCTGAGCAGGGGGAGGGGCTGTCCCAGTGACATCTGTGTCCACAATGGCAGCAACAAGCCTGGGAAACTGGCCAGCACATGGCGGTGAGGCCCACAGGCTGCTGGGCAGCACCTGCCCTGCTGTAGAGTGGAGGGTGGGGGTGCTGGGCACGAAGCCTTCAACTCATGATCCTCCTGCCTCAGTCTGTCCCAGGGGCTGGGATCACAGATGTGTGCACCGCACCCTGAAGGCTACTCAGTGCACACGTACTGAGGCACCGGTATGCAAGGAGTATACTACAATTCCAGCGAACTAAGTGAATGACAGTACCAGCCCTCAAGAAGCCTGTCAGTCACGGAGAAAAACAATCTAGAAATACTACGATACTTCCAAAAGAGAGTTGTTCTCAGCCAGTCTTTCGATACCGACGGGTCTATGATTCTAATCATTTCAAAGTATTACACTGCAATCTACAAAGTACTCACTGTGATATGGTGCTTCTAAGATAGCAGTGTCACACAGTAGAAGACAATGCAGTCTTTTTGTTCATAAAAAAATTAAATTCCTTTACTTTTTGATTAGGGCCAATCTTTTTGTAATTAAAAATAAAATGCATGCTAAATCCAGGAAATGTTAGATCCAGTTACATACTAACAAGGAAAGAACAGGAAATTTAAGATGATTATATTTTTGCTGTATTCAAACAAATATTTTAAAGTATCATTTCAGAGTTACATCATATCAAGGTGAATTTCAAATACAGTAGTCACTACCGCTGATTTTTCATTATCCAGGGTCCGACTGTTTGTCTTGCCTTACTTACACTGTAGTACCTCCTTTATACCTCGCTGCCTGGTTTTGGATCACTGTTTTTATTATTTACTAATTTTTACCCACTTGAAAAAAATGACAACTGAAAATTACAATGAGACTAACACTGCTTATTAATTACTATTTATATTATCAAGCTTTGACGGAAGAGGTTCAGCTTCATATCCCAAAAAAGATTGTGGCACCAATCTTATGAATACGCAAATCCTGGCCTCCAAGCCTTTACTGTTATAAAGATTAAAAACTTTGTTAACATATTATTAAAGTGAATGTTCATATGCCAAGGAAGATGCCAGAGATAACTGAACCACCTTTACGGAGGACCTTCACTTCAGGCTATATCACAGTGTACTCACTCTATTCCTTGTTCTGTGAATGGCGTTGGTCCACAAATGCAGAGAAGGACTCTGGAGTTTTCTACACTTCGTTTCAAAAATTCAGAAAGAAGAGCTGGTGAAATTTGTCCCTGCTTGCCATTCCATTCAGACGTTGGTGCTGAGAGAATATATTCAACATCAAATCTAGGCAAGGAAAGTTTTAAAAAGTCTATTATTTTAGACACGTTATTAGCAAGTTTCAAATTCAATGAAACACCTCCCCTACAAAACAATTTACTGTATCAAGACTGCTACACCTGCCAGAAAATGCCTGGCACACAGGTAAACTGCTCTTTACTAAGGATTAGATTTTGCTATAGACAAGAAAGTAGTTCAGCATTTTTGACTGAACTCCTTGAAAGAGAATTCCAAGGGATCTCCGCACTTCTGTTAACAATCTGCTCACCATAAAGAGCAATTTTCAGTGACATGTATTTTAACCTCTGGCTCAAAATTCTCCGGTAATCCCCAAACCCTTACAACCAATTTCACTAAGACGCCTACGCGACTCCTTGCTGCTGCTGTCTCCAAGACCAAAAGCTCAACTTGCGGTCTCCCTGCCCCCTACCTGACGTCAAGTCTGTGAAGGGCAACACAGTCCGCTTGACCACACAAGTCAGAAACCTCGGATTTACCCTGGGAATCTTCCTCTGCCTCACCGCCCGTATCTAAGTATTACCAAGTCCTAGCTCCTAACTCTCCGCGTTCACCGATCTTCACTGCAGTCGCACTGCGCACTCTCGGTCTTCTCTCTCTCATGCTTTTACTACCCCAGCTCATCAGTTCTTAGTTCAAACGTCATGTCCACAGGGAGGCGCTGCAGCCCCACCAGTCCACGGGCCTTCACACACATTATAGACGTATTTCCCTTTTTTTTCATAGCCCTTATTTCAGGTTGCAAGTATGTAGTTCTACTATGATTACTTTATTGTCTACTTTCCTCTTCAGACTACAAACCCCATGAGAACAGGAATCATGTCTGCACTGGCCATCACTGTGTACCTAGTAGCCAACACACAGGTTTATTCAAATGCTATGAATAAAGTAGATTAAAGAAAGTGTAGGGAATTAACATGGAAAGATCAATCTGAATCTCGCAATGTAATTATAGACTCTATCTTCCCACAGGGACAGGAAACTACTAAGTAAAGCTGAAAAGCTATAATACATTCAAAATTCTATGTTGTACCTGTTCTCTTTGCTCTACCTTAGCAAACAAAACTAATTATTACCATATTCAGTAGCATCAAATCAAATGCACTTCTGCACGTTTCAGTAACAGGTATTTCCTGAAGAGCAGTACTGTAGATATTGGTTATCCATTAATTTAAAGCTCAAGAAAGAGTAGATGTGAACATCTCATTTGAGGAGACAAGGGAACCAAGAAAGAACGGACACAGCTGCCTTTCTATCACTGTGCCTCAGCTGGGTTAAGGTTCCCCAAAACTGATGAGCCTGGCACACACAGACCCAGTAAGGGCACCAGCCAGGGCTACAGAACCGTCCTGGCTCTGCACACAGACCCTAGCCTCTTAAGTCTTAGGGATCTACTTGTGGAAGAAGGGAAGAAAACTACATCATCTCCCACAGCTCTAATACTTTATGGTTTTAAACTCAGAACACCGTAAAACTATACTTTATTTCTTACCTTCAAGGTTCCAATTCAGTATTAGTATTACTCTACTTTATAAAGAACAACTTTCCCAAATACAGGTTTGACGGAGACCACTACAAAGCAGCTCTGAACAGAACTTAAATTAACCAATTGGCTTTCCATGTTTACTTGTGAGTCTGTCCAAGGCTTAGGCTCCTTATCTGGAGATGGGCAGTGGACTCACAGTAAGTGTACCTCTGTGAGTCACCGGTCCCTACTGAGGTCTGCAATGGCAGATGAAACTGGAAAGCCTCAAGGGACAAGACAAGATCACAGCCAAGGACACCTGGCTCCAACCCCAACTAGATAAAGACTGTAGTCTCAGGCATCTCACTCGTGGGTGGATTAACTTAATACTTTACTTAGAGAAGTCCTTGGGCAGTTCCCACCCTTCTTGAGTATTCCTCTCCCTTGTTCTGATAACTAAATAAATACAGGCCACCCAGAGAAAGTCTTGGTCTTAGCCCTGAGAGAATCTCGAATTCTGTGAGAGGGTTTTGAGCCTTCTGGATCATTCCATTTGCCTAATTTTATTTAGCCTTCACAGTACACTCGTTAAGGAGATTGCAGACCTGATCAGTCTGCAATAACTAAGGGGTATTATTAACCAGATACAGGTTGAGCAGCTCTAACTTGAAAATCTGAAGTCAGAAGTGCTCCAAAAATCTTACATTTTTTGAGCATTGTCGTATCTCAAAACCTCCTAAACCCAATACATCCAAAATCTAAAACACTTCTAGTTGCAAGCGATTTGAATAAGGGATAGTCAACTAGTCCTTTCTTTAACTTGATTTTTCTTCCTAGTCCTTAAAATTTGGGTAGTGCTAGACAATTACAGAATGTGCATCTCCTCACTGCTATGTAGGGAGACAGTTCCTGTTTTCTTGTCACTATTTTACGTGGGCCTGGTTCAACCAAAGAGGACAAAACTAACTGTTGAGGGAGTAAAAGAACTTATTTACAAGGAAGACATACTGGTTAAAATTTGAAATTATACTTGGTAAAACAAGATCATGTGCTGTCATATACAAAATTACATAAATTTATATAAATAAGTACATTTTTCTAGAAAGAAGGTTCCTAATCTTTCATTAGCATATCAAAGAGGATCCCAAAGCAGCTGTAGAACCACTGTCTAAGAAATTTCCACTTATATACCCATACTGGGATAAGACAGAAAGTGCATGGTTAAATTAGAACAGTAGTCTCCTACAGGTCCTTTCCTAATGAGCCTATCACTGGAACAAAATAAAACATATAAATTAATGGTGAAGTCTATGTAATGTGCAGTAAAGACCTAGTCATAATTTTTATTTGCTGAGATGCTTTAAAACAAACAAAAAATAATTAACAGCAGGCATCAAATAGAGTAACCAGGACCTTTATATAAAAGGTCCACATTTCTCACACATTTTGTATTTATTCACACAATGGTCCCTTGGTTATAATTTTAGGTACCTAATGGAAAAAGTGAACAGATGGCATGAATACAATTTAAGGATTTGCAAAGAGGCTGCTAGCCTGCATACAACCTTCTTCATAGGGTGAGAAAATTGCTTAAACAGGAGCAAAAATAATTCTAAGTTAAAATAAGGAATTCCTTAATGAAGGATTTATATCAAGATATAATCTGAAATAATAATTGCACCGAGGGTGATGGAAAGAGCATATCAATAAACATCCTGAAATTCTTCTCTGCTCTGATTTCAAAAGAGCCAGAAAAGGCTAAAAATAAGGTTACCTAAAAATAAATTCAGAAAACCCATAAAATGCCAAAAAAAATCATGGGGGAGGGGGAGAAAGCTTCTGATGAATGCCTCGGTGTTCTCAAATGTCAATGAAAGTAAATATACTTGTCCAATGTTTTTACTTTAAAGTAGACCAACAGTGACCTCAGACGAAGTCTTGAAATACAAATGTATTCGATGTAAATCATACGCAGATCCTGCAGGTCCGGCACCTTCTCGCCCTCCTCCTGCCCCTCCCACTTGGCTTCCAATAGCCACCTCCTTCCCATCGCCCACACGTGCCCTCCCGCTTCCTCGTTTCTACCGCCACGCCGCCACTCCAGGCCCCGTCCTATCTAAAACACGACCCTTAACACTCCTAGTTACTACAGTCTCTGACACTCCACTGCCACATTAGTTCTCCTAAAAACACAGATCCAATCTCCCAGCTTCTTTGCTTTAAAAACTGCAGTGATTCTTCGTTGCCCTCAAATTAACATTTCACAGTACCTGGGGTCCCAGCGGTCCCAGCTTGTCCTAGTTTATCTAGCTAATGAGAAGTACTAAGAACAAAACTGAACTCTGTTCTGTCACTGAAATACTAGAACATTCTAGCTCTCGTGTTGTTACTTGTGTAAGTCTACTACCTACACTTCCTTTCCTCTTCACAGAAATGCTAATTTGCTTTTCAAAACCCTTTCTTCCACGCAGCTCTGCTACTATATTCTCCTTCTCACAAAAGCGCAATGACCCCTTCTTATCCCTAGACCTCCGCGACATGTCGCCTGCTCCTCCGAACACACAGCTTCTGCAGTTTCTGCCGTACTTCAGACCGCCACCCCGAGGCCTGAGTGACAGGATGAGACGTGATTCTACAGTCTCTCCATTTTTTTAACTACAGAATTTCAGAGAATTTTTATATGCATAATTCAGTAGTAATTTCACCAAGGAAACGTACTCGGGTAACAAGTTTTGTCAGCACTTTCTCACTAAAACTACAAGTGACATACTGCAGTCAAGAAAAGGTGGTTTAACATATATTCAAACATTAACAGCCTTAAATACTAAAACACGTTATGTCACTAGTTAAAATTACGCTAAATCTGAGCTTTTCCTTTTATGCATAGGAAACAACAATTAGGATCTGCCTGAAGAACATTACCCACACTCACCCAGCAGCCTTCACGGCTAGGGTTCTCCTATCCCTGCAGACAGCCTCCGCCTAGGGCACAGGTCCTGATACCCTTCCAAAGCCATCTGTATCAGCATGGCCTTTTTCTTTCTACTGAGCATTTGAACTGACCTCACTCAAAAACAGAGATCCTAAATCAAACAGTGCCTGTCTAGCACCTCAGGCAAGGAGTGCTGTATCTCCAGGACAGGACAGAGAACATGGAGGAAGAGAGGGAGGGAACACAAACGAACAAGCACCGGTGACCAGGAGCAGAGAGAAGGCGCAGCAGGGGGAGGATTAAAGGCAGGCCGGCTTCACCGCTCTCAGCAAGCTGGAAAGTGTCACTCACCTGGTGAGTGCTGTTAGAGCTAGGCACCCAGAAGTGCAGAGAGGGGCCTTTCCTCAGCCTCATACTCCAGCCTACGTACTTCCACCAACCCCAATTACGCAGACCAAGACAGAACAGAACAAAACAAAACACAAGGGACTTTGTTTATGTTCGGAAGATGCCAACACATTCCCTTTCATGAGTTAATTTATAAATCAGATTTCACTCCCATTAACAGATTCAAGTAGAATGTCTAGTCACTAAAATAGCAATACATTTCTTTTAAAAAATTATAAACTTCTCTTTAGGGGATTTATCTTAAATAATACTGTCGAACCCCTACCAGAAATATGTATTTTAAAAACTAGTTTAAAAAGTCTACTGCTGTTTACATTCTTATTTATGTTTTGGTACTGAAGGCTGAACAGAGGGCTTTTGCACTGAGCTTTATCCTCGGGCTTTTTTTATTTTTTATTCTGAGACAGGGTCGCACTAAGTTGCTAAGTTGCCCAGGACGGACTGCAACTCTTAATCCTACTGCCTCAGCCTCCAGAGTGCTGGAGTTAATGTCTGGGGAGAGAGGAGCTCTAACAGTTAAGACAGAAGCCACACACGTTTACAGAGACCTGCTGTAACCACAACCCAAACACCCGAGAAAAGGCTTCACAGTTCTCCAAGCATTTACATTACCTTCTGCAAACCTCACAATTCTTAATGAAATAAACAGGAAAGATGTCACTATTTTATTTGGAAGAGAAAGAGACAGGCCCACAGAGTTAAGTAATTTTGAATAGTCTCAAGTCATAAAGTTTAAGTTTGAGAACAACGGAAACTTGAATTTAGGTTTTAGGCTTCTTAAAAGCTTCTGAGTATAAGAGATGCATGAAAACCTAAGAACTGGTATTTCTTCAAGGCATTCTTTAGACTGCCAGTTACCTAAATATAGTAAATACTCTTGGGTTTATGCTCTAAGTAGGTAAACTATTCAATAGAGATAAGTAGGTTCAACTTAGCCTTAATTTTGTGAAAGAAATTTCTTAAAAGAGAAAGGGGAGGATGATGGGAGGTAACAGGTTAAAGAAATAGAAAATGTCACTGTATTACCCTATTACAGATATCCAGAAAATATTTTTAAGAACTTGGAACCCCTTTGACAGCTAAGTTTCCAAGGGCTTTAACTTGACAAAGGCCTAGAATTTTACTCACATCAGACTATTATATTTTTACTTCAGATACTTTGTGCAACTTACAAAGCCCTGAATTCTAGCTTTTAATGATTATAAAAACACTTTACAAAGTCTGACAGCATGTCCAATTCATTCTTGTAAAAGAAATTTGTCCTTGAGTTTCTTCAAATATTTTACGGGAAATTGCTGCACATGCTTAAATTATTGTGGTTGATTTTGCTGGGCTCTTTTCTTCAATAAAACAAATTTTGAATTTGCAATCCTTTCTGTCTCTGAGCTCAGTTTGACTAGAACTGTTTTCTATTGACTACAACATTATTTCCCAAGGTATATGCTAGTAACAGGGCTATATATGTTAATGCAAATAACAAAAATGAAGACAATCTTGCCAAACAATAAATCCCCTTCTAGAACAAGCACCAAGAAATCTCCTAGGGAAGTCACCAAGGCTCTAAAAAAACCCTGTAATGTCTTTAATTTTGTTTAATCAATCCTTGGCAGATTTATTTTATCTGTCCCATTATATATAAGACAATTTCAAATTGGCAAGTTGATTATACTGCAACATTTTCAATGAAACCCAATTAAGGAGTATATATATTTACATAATACATTACCTAGATTTTTATCAGGCAGTATTTCTTTGGACATAGGGGTTTTAACATTGTTTCTAGAAGGATGAACTTGTATTTTTCTTTGAAGAGCTTCTTGGTCAATTCAAAACATAGACAAAGCCCAGATTTAGTACACAGGTATGATTATTTAGAATTAACATCAGTATAATACCTTTTATCCTTACATGCTAATTTTTCCAATTGGCTTCTCCAAATTATATCATCCTCTGTTTTATTGAAGAACATCAACTTCAACTTCCTTAAAAGAAAAAAATGTGTTAAATGTAACAAATTAATTGCGTTTAAAACATAAATTACAAGTGGAACATCTAAAGTGAACTGGGGTGAATGCTTTTAGAAGTGATTAGGTAACCCAAAGTATAAAAAACTAAAATGAGATCAAAGAACCAAGTTAATAAAACAGCTGTGCCTACAGGAGGGACAGTTAGAAATGATGAACGAGAGAATGAGAACAAATCTAATAAAGTCCAAGTAACAGTCAGTTTAGAATACCTTTCCAGTGATGGCAAACCTTTTAGAGCTTCCAGTGATAAACAGCTGGCTGCGGCACACATGCCACAGGTTCACCACCACTGCCTCATCCTAACAAATGGCAGTAATTAAAGGTAAAATTACAAGGCTGGGCGTGGTGGTGCATGCCTGTAACCCTAGTACTTGGGAGGCTGAAGCAGGAGGATCGTTACAAGTTTGAGACCAGCCCTGGCTACAAAGTGAGCTCAAGGCCAGCCTGAATTGCATAGCAAGACCCCATCTCAAAAAGACAAAAAAAAAAAACAGATAAAATTACATACCTGAGACTGAGTACATTACTCAAAGCATAATTCAGTATTTTAACCATTGGTGTGAAGCCCGTTCCAGCTGCCACTAAAAAGAGATCTTCCAATTCCTGGAGTTTGGATTTTTTAAAATTGCCCTCAGGACCGCTTACAGACACAAAATCTCCTAAATAATGAAATATAAACTAAATCAGAAAAACAACCCAGCAGGGAAATTGAGAAGGCTGAATTTAGAACACTACTGATTGACAGAATACTTAACCTGCTGACTACAGATCAGTCTTTAATATATGTAAAGAGTTTCAAAGCTAATCATTAGGCTTCCAAGTATGTATGGATTATATCATTACAATCAAATTAATAATGACATTTAATTATATCATCTCCTACCATTATTTTCCCAAACAATCTAAAGCCTGTAATTTATAAACTACTGCAAAGTACTTATCCACAAATGATCAATAAAGGAGTGACTACTAAATTATAAACACCTCAAAAGCAGAGTCTAGGTATACCTCTCCTGCACAATACATTACAAGTGGAACATCTAACATTTTTAGAATAGATACTGGCTATTCACATATTGATTAAATAGCGACAGGACTATAGGAAAGAAAACAAAATTTTTTTAGATCTTACATTGGTAAATATGCTTTTCTCTTCCATCAAGTTTTTGAAATACTATCAAATAAAATAAGAGCTATTGTGAGTTTAACTGAGTCAAAAGCAATGAGTTCTAACTTGGAGTACGTTGGTTTCCAACCTAGAATCCACCAGATCAGAAATCAGTACCCAGTTTGTACAGTTCAACTGATATGAAAACCAAGAACCATTCACGGAAGAAAACTTTTGTCAAGGACTACATTTGGAGATTTTCAATGTAAAAATTGAAAAAAATGACAGATAGCCACTACTTTCAAATGATTTAAAATACTCTGGTTTATTTTAAAATGCTCGGATGGTCAGAATGTTTCCTTTGTTTTCCACTGAAGGATAGTAAAAAATTCACAGTAATTGATGAACTAAGTATTGTAAAGTAACACAAATTTCTTGTTACAGTTTGAAAGGGACCATGAGATCAGAATGCCCTCAGGAAAAAGCCAGATGACTGTTTACCAGAGAGGTTTCACAGGTTGATAATAACTTGGTAACTTTTATCCACAGTCCAGTCCTTGGAATGGCATAAAACTGATTAGATTCAGTCAGGACAACTGATTGTAGCCAACTTCCAAGAGTACCCGTGACAAAGTACACATGACAAAATGGCAACGCACGACTTATAAGTACATCTGGTATCCTGAATTTAGTATAGGTATCTAGTGCCCTAAACATTAAATGCCCTGGGCAGAGATCTTGTTTCCATTATCAGGATATTTGATTCTTTCTACATGGTTTTTGGGGTTTTTTGTTTGTTTGTTTGTTTTTTAGGGGGGGTACTGGGAATTGAACTCAGTACCTTGTGCTTGCTAGGCAGACACTTGTGCCACTGAGCTACATCCCCAGCCTTTAACAGGATATTTGAAAAGTTAAATTAATCATAAAAGATTGCTGGGATTAAAACAAAAAGATGAGTAATTTTATAGGGGAATTCATTTGGCCAAGATGAGGCCTCAGAGAAGTGTACAACTCTAAGTGACACAAGGATTTGTGACATACCTATAAGTCCCTGGATGAGGTGAAATAACACTTCATTTTATCCTTTGGAGACTAACTCTCCACTCTGCTGTGTTCACAAAATCTCTATAAACAGGTTACAACACTGTTCATTAAGTTTCTACTTACTATATTATAATCATGTATCAGTTTTTCCTTCACAAAGTGATAGCCCTCCCACTACGTCTGAGTATATTTCAAACTACTTCAAGCTCATATTTATATAGTGTTTTGGTTTATGTAAGCACCGATGACTAACCGTATCTGCAATGAGTAGATTTCCTAAGTGTAAGGTTCAGAAAGCACCATCAGTTTCTCTGCTTCCAAATTTTAGTGTTACCCCCATATACTGCTAACGCTGCCTTAGAACACTGTGCAAGTAGGTAAAAAGCAGTGAAAAGTAATAGAGAAAAATCACTAGAAGATAAAGAATTAGAAGCAAGAAGAAAGGTTTTAAAGTCTTAACACATCTCATTATAATTCTTTCATTCAGTCTTTGAGGTACATCTCCTGATAGCCTAGTATGTGCCAACTGTCATGCCAGATGTGGAATACAAATATAAGGAAGATAATTTCTGCCCTTAAACTCAAATCTGATCAAGAAGAAACGTATTTATCCTTGGAGCTATAACTAAATAGTTCCTGGGTGTTTCAGAGGTGGAGGGAGGCTTCAGAAAGGAACCGATGCCTTGTTTGAATCTTTAAAAAGAGGCACTTGAGAGACAAATGTTAATGGACACCTTGGGTCAGGCAGTGCTGGTGCCTGTGAATGCAGAGGACAAACCAGTGAAAGCAGTTTGGAGTTGTATTAGTTAAGGGGTAGTATTTTTGCATACTAAGAGATGAAACTGAGGAAATCACCAAAGCCTTTGCAGGCCGTGCAGAAGACTTAATCAGATAGATAACAGGGACCCATCAGCGGTTTCGAATGGAACTGGAGCAACATGATGAAATCTGTTCTCTGCGCAATATGGAGAAACAACTGGATGATGCAAACGAACAGGAAGAGAAAGAGATCAGCTAGAAGTCAAATGTGAGCAGCCAGTCAGAGATCATGACAGAGGAGACCAAGGCTTGCTTCTAGAGGACGGCAAAGGGAGAGGAAGGAAGGGTTAAAAATCCAGGAGGCGGACTCAGCAGAACTTAGTGGCTGACTGAACTGGGAGAGAGGAAAAGAGACGACCCAAGTGCTTACATTAGGTCAAGGGTGCACAGCAACGTCCCGACGGGGGGACAGGGCAAAGGGCAGATGCCTCTGGTTACAGACATGTTCAGTTTAAGATATTTACTAGATTCCCATACGGAGCTACGTAGAGGGTATTTGATTCAACCTAGAGCACAAATGGGGTTTACAACATGCAAAAGTACTAACCAATTTGAAGATGATCAAGCTTTGGTGTGAGGAGTCCAGCAGGATAGATTTTGATCAAAAAGTAGATGTATTTATTGTTGGGAGGAACTGGTTTTTGGAACTCTGAGAGTAAGGAATAAGATACAGGTGTATATGGCTTTACTATTTCTGTACCTAGAAAAATTAAAAACGAAGAAATTTTTAAAACTTCATCTCTTAAAGATGAAACATACAAACTTTATGCTATCAATATTTAAAACTAATGAACATATAATTCTAACTATATGCTCTGTACCTATTAGCATATGATTTATATTACCTCAAGCCTACAAGTCCTGAAATAATTTTACAAATCAATATTTTAACCTATTTTTATTAAGTGTGGTCTAAACTCATAAGGATATACATTAACAAATTTATCTATTCCATTAGCATGTAAGCTTTGTAAAAGGCCAGCACAAAAATAACATAAAAATTTTTCCCAGAGAGTATAAGAAGGTACTCACATAATAATTTTAATTATATACCAAATATTTAATAATAGTTATTGGAGGTCATGAGATCATTTTCAGAGAGAAAGGAAGGAATTTTACTTTTCATTTTATATATTTTCAATTATTTCAATGTTTTGACATTATATGACACTTTAGTAAGTGAATGAAAAGAATATTAATCTAACTACGTCAAAGAACACATTATTTTCTAAAAGGTAAAATAAGAATTCATGCTATAGTTTTAGCTAGCCAATATTCAAAGAGAAGAGTCACACACATTTTAAAGACCAATATTTAATACACTATCTTTAACATATATATATAATTTATATGTACATTAAATACACTGGCAATAAATACACTGGAAAGTATCAGCTCTTGAGTGGTAATTTGGAATTAGTGACAATGAAGAGAAAAACGTTAACAGTATTATTAAAATATGCCATATGTACTAGAACCTAGCTAGTAATCTGTTAAGACTAATTGCTGGAAAAACTATGACTAACATCAGAATTTACCTTCTGCATCTTCAAAAGACCAAGAAAATATTGGCTATCAAGAAGAAGGGTATTTAAAACAAGTAAGTAGGGTCATTTGGGGATGAAATTGAAGGAAAAATAATTCACACAAGAAAAAATACAGTAGTTTTTAGAGCTTCTTATACTGGTGGCACATGTAAAAAATTACGCATAATCATCCACTTGTTTTAAACTTTAAAAATTGAACTTCATAAGGAATAAGAGAGATACTACTATGAGTTTCCAGCAGTAGTCTTTGGAGGACCATTACATACCCTCCTCTCTTCAGGGTTTTGTCAGTATTAAATTTCAGTGCTGGTGGAATTATCTCTCTGACTAGGGCAATTTCTTTGTTCCATATGATAATGGGGCACAATCATGGTTCCAACATGGAGGAGACACTGCACCCACAAACTTAAGATTCTGGCTCACACTAAATCCAGCTGCCCACAAACGTTTACTAATCACTTAACGACTGTTTCCCAAACAGACTGGTACTACTTGGAGCTGCCTGTGAAGGAAGAAATGTCCCCCGAAGCCTGTAACCGCCTTACCTGTGATAGTTACCTTGAGGTAAACATGTTGCCCAATCGGCACCTGGAGATGAGTGCACGGGGGCAGCATCAAACAGAACAGCTTCGTATCATGAGTGACATCCTCCTTGGAAACCAACTGGCACTTTCTATAGTACAGACCTACAACGCAATGCGTTTTCTCTTATGATACGTAAATTAATAAAAAATAGTAATAGACCACGAAGTGATGCTCATATTCAGCTGTGCTCACTAAAAAAGTCAAATTCCACTAAAATGCTCATA